AGAAAAGTAAAGTGAAGTACCAATGGTGCGTCACAGCCAGAAGCCCTGGCCTTGAGTCTCAGTTCAACCACCCACCCATCATTTGACCTTAGGCCAGTTCCGAAGCTCTCCTAACTCAGGTTTAGTTTGCTTATTTTTTCTTTTTTTTTCCCCCACCTTTTCCAGAGTGAGGCTTCACAGAGGATCAAATGAGATGCTAATGTGAAAGGTCTTTATAAACTATAAAGTTCACTACCAATTTGGATTGTTCCTTATTTTTATATTTTATTTTCTCCATTTACATAACTATTATTAAATTGCTTGGGAAAATGGAACAGGGTATCATGTGTAATATTCTGGAGTTCTAGTGTTAACTGGTTTAAGATAGCTGTGTCAGATTATTGGCTGGTGAAGGTTTGTTGTCAATGACGTTTATGAGATTTGATTCTATGACATTTTTCTATAGAAATATCCACAAAATTCACACATACAGCATCTTTCTTGAGTCCTAATTCCTCCCTCCCTTGTATCATTGTTGTCATTTATTTCACTTACACATAAGCATACATAGCATGTACTCATACACACACACAAGCATAATCAAATACAGTGCTGCTATTATTATTTTGAACTGTTATCTGTTAAATCAATTAAGAGTAAGAAAGATAAAAATTTTTGTTTTACATCCACTTATTCCTTCTCCAATGCTCTTCCTTTCTTTGTGTAGATTTGAGTTTCTGACCAATGTCATTTTCATTCTCTCTAAAGAACGTCTTTTAACATTTCTTGCAAGGCAGGTCTACTGGCACCAAATCCCTTCAATTTTTGTTTGTCCAAGAAAGTCTTTATTTCACCTTTAGTGGAGTTACTTTAGTCTGGAGATATGCTTATTGATTGTGAAAGACAAAATATACATACATATACAGAAGAAGCAAAACCTAATTTTTAAATGAGCAAGAGTGAAAATAAAACAAAGTAAACAAATATTTAAAATTCATAACTTAACTCCAAACCATAGCCAGTGGGGAGAGCAAGTGATACATGGAAGAGACAGAGAAAAGAAAGATGACATTTGAAAGAGCTGTAAGTAGGTGCAGTAGAAAAGGACAGATAAAAGAAAGCAAAGGGGGACAGAGCATTGCACACAAAAGGTTAAGGAAGAAATCATTTACAGAGGAGAGCTGGGCAGGAGGCGGCTAGAGAAACAGGTGAAAGGAAAAGAAAGTGACGGAAGAGGAAACTAAACGTTCCACCTGATTTGAAGTACTGGTCTGATCGATCTCAGATCTTCAGTTGGCCACAGGATTTGGGGCTGTTTATTGTGGAATTAATTGCTGTTTGCAGTTCTCTGTAAGGTACCCTTGGTATCTACCACTGAATGGCATGATCCCAAGGACCCACCAAGGGTCGGGCTGGAGTAACCAGAGCAATATTAGACCAGATATGGCAGAGGACCCAAGATTCCCAATCCATACCCCTTCTAAGGGTGATAGAGAATTATTAAATTACTGCAAGTACTTTCATAGTCAGAATTGGGATGAATGAATACAGTTAGACATGAATACAATAAATAACATCAATAATATCAGAAACAAGAATATTTAAATAGAAAGCATGACTGTCTGGAATACACATACTCACCATGTCTGCCATTAGCCAGTTACATTTATGAATATAAAAAAATAGACAAAACTCCTTTAGTGGATTTGGGAAAAACTTTTTTTTCTTTTCACACAGTTTAAATTTTTAGAATAAAATACAAGGATTTTTTTAAAAATTAAGCCAAAGATATTTGGGATGGGCTGAACTTAAGACTAAATTAATCAAACCACAACCAATGAGTTGTTAATGAAGCACATCGAATCGATTCTGAAGGATCTGGCCCAGCCATCCACAAACCCAACCATGATGTCACTGCCCTGTGGGGCTGTGTTTTCACTCAGAGGCCTTCACACTTACCAGGAACAAACCCACCCCTCTATGCATTTCAAGGTGTAAGGAGATGAAATTTGAGAAGGACAAAATCGATCAAACCAAACAACTGTGATGTCATGAGTGGGAGAATCAAAAATTTTTTTCAAATTTGGCAGAAACATTTTTCTAATAGTTAACCTAAGACATTTTCCTCTCCATATGTATGCGTTGTTGTATCGTGATGTAAAATGGCAGTCACGTTTGTACCTACCTGTCCGCTGCATAGCCTAAGGTG